TCTTCTTCGAAGATGATGGTTCTTCCACCTCAAGTGCCTCACATTCTTGGAGCTTCTTCTTCTTCTTCTTTGACGGTTCTTCCTTCTCAGGTGCATCATCTCCGTCTTCTTCTCGGTGCTTCTTTTTCTCTGCCTCATGTGCATTTTGTGCCTTCTTGGCAGCTCGGCGTGGCTTCTCTTCCTCCGGGTCTTCGTCATTGGTTCTCTTCTTTCTGGACAAAGAACTTGCGGGCTTCTCACTATCCCGGTCTTCACCAGTGGTTGTCTTGGTCTTCTTTGTCTTTGCCGTTGGCTTCTCATCTTTGTGCGTTGAAACATATTCTTCGCCATCTTCCTGGTCTGGCTCATAGGACCCATCATATCGTTTTGTTTCTTGGTGCTCGAGTTTGACAGGTGTCATCCCAGACCCTTTCCCATGCCCTTTGGCCCGGTGCAACTCTTGCATAGCTGCTTTCAAGCCATCCTTTGTCTCCGTAGAAGCATCTCCCTTCTTGATTGCCAGAATATGTTTCTGAATCCTAGCATAGAGCTCAGGGAAACGTTCCTTCAGAACAGCACGGTCAGAAAGGTCCTTGGAGACTTGTGGTGTCTTGCCATGGATCCTCTTCAGAGGTGGATCGGACTTCTCTGGGGTGACGAAAGCTGCTTCTTCCGTCCTGCGAAGCTCAAGAATCTGGAGCAGATGGGGTAATGGAAGGACTTGGGTGCAGCCAAATAGCATTAAGTAGTCCCAACACCAATCCTGAAGTTGGAAAATTGGATTTCACGAATTTCACGAAATTTCACGTTTTGAAGGACCTATGAACGACTTATGCTATCAAGTTCACGGAATTTCACGGAATTTCATGAAATTACGGTAAAAAACCACGAATTTCATGAATTTTCATGAAATTACGGTAAAAAACTACGAATTTCATGAAATCGGGGTGGAAAACCATGAATTTCATGAATTTTCATGAAATTACGGTAAAAAAACACGAATTTCATGAAATCGGGGTGGAAAACCATGAATTTCATGAATTTTCATGAAATTACGGTAAAAAACCACCAATTTCATGAAATCGGGGTGGAAAACCATGAATTTCATGAATTTTCATGAAATTACGGTAAAAAACCACGAATTTCATGAAATCGGGGTGGAACACCATGAATTTCATGAATTTTCATGAAATTACGGTAAAAAACCACGAATTTCATGAAATCGGGGTGGAAAACCATGAATTTCATGAATTTTCATGAAATTACGGTAAAAAACCACGAATTTCAGGAAATCGGGGTGGAAAACCATGAATTTCATGAATTTTCATGAAATTACGGTAAAAAACCACGAATTTCATGAAATCGGGGTGGAACACCATGAATTTCATGAATTTTCATGAAATTACGGTAAAAAACCACGAATTTCATGAAATCGGGGTGGAAAACCATGAACTTCATGAATTTTCATGAAATTACGGTTAAAAACCACGAATTTCATGAAATTAGGCTGGAAAACAATGAATTTCATGAATTTTCATGAAATTACGGTAAAAAACTACGAATTTCATGAAACCGGGGTGGAATTTCATGAATTTCATGAAATTACGGTAAAAAACCACGAATTTCATGAAATCGGGGTGGATTACGGTAAAAAACCACGAATTTCATGAAATCGGGGTGGAAAACCATGAATTTCATCAAATTAGGCTGGAAAACCATGAATTTCATGAAATTGGACCCGGAAACCATGATTTTGCCAAACCATCACATCCCACAAACCCGAAGATAAGAAATTTAGGGTTTATTTATATATATATATATTATATATATATATATATAGATATAGATAATAGATAGATAGATAGATAGATAGATATCAACATGCATATGTATGAATATATCTATCTATCTATCTATCCATCTATCTATCTCTCTCTCTCTCTATAGTCGTGACAGTTTCTCTCCTGTGTAAATACTGTGGGCTCCACACCATTTTGGTGACCCATTGGTTCACTTTTATATTTTGTTCAAAGAAGTGGGGTCATAAACCATCTATGTTGAAACCACCATGTATTTTGGAACCACCATTTTGGAACCCCAAGATTCTTTATATACAGCCAAGGTTCGCCGACCCTGGTCAAGCGATGTCACGGTGAAACTAATGGCCAAAAGGGGCTGCCTCATGCACAACAGTGCACATTCAGACTGTATGAGCTTGATTATATATCTAACATGCATGGTTTGTCTAAATATTGGGAACCGTGCCTGAAATTATGCTGTCCAACAATAGGCATTTACATATGCTTCAGGCTACCTACTTTCGAGACACATGCGTACCACCTCAGGACATGGGGTTGCTGGTCACTGGACTGGAAGCTGGATGGCAAGGACACGGCATGATTCTTTTGGAAACTCCGCTGCATCTAGTCAAGGATGCCCCCTAAACCTGAGTCCTCGCTATCGGACCCATCCAAGTCAAAGAATTTCATATTGTCCTCTGGACGTGGTGAGGCTAGTTTCCTCAGATTGCGCTGATGTGTTGTAGGCAATCATGCCATTTTCGAGGCAAGATTTTGTCATGTAAACATATGCCAAGATTCACATTCTTTTTGAGAAGCTCACCCACCTGCAGATGCAGTAGTCATGTTTGTTTGAAAGCCATGTGATTTTCTGAATCATCAAGCTTGTAGCTTCCGAATACTAATGATCGCACTTCTCACTCAGCCCAGCTAGCCTTTAGGCCAAGAGCCACTGGGTATTCGGATGTCTTGGTCAAATCTTTCCCTCCAGCCTCAGCTGAACAGAATGCGAAAGGAAAATTACAACCCTGGGGACTGAAGAATAGAACCCAACAAAAGTTGATCTCTTGGGAAATACTTGTGACAAAGGGGCCACACAAACAGTTTTATCACAATTGCATTTTTCGACAAATATGCCATGTATACATATTCAGCGAAGTAGCAATTTGCCGTTTAGTTTGTTTTTTGGGGGGGGGTGACTTTCTTCTCTGGTTTATGGCCCTTTTTGAAATCAAAAATAGTCGCCTTTCTAGACCCCTGTGCCAATCCCAAGCCCAAAGGAAAATTATTACAGCAAAGTAACAACCTTGAGTGCGCCTGTCTTCTGACAGACAAACTTACGAACAATCTCCAAGTTGAGGCTGCTGCGAATACGAGCCAAGCGTTCCCTGACAGCACATTGTCGGGCTGCCACCAAACCAAAAGTATAGTGGTGCTAATTGATGTCATGCCTATAACACAAACACGACCATGCCAGGTCACCTTCGTACTGGGTCAAGTTTGCAACCAATCTCACACAGGTACTTTGCAGTGGTGTAGATAGTCACACGTTTCCTGGTAGTCGGAAAGGGTCTTGGCACATATATACATATACAATATGTATATATATATATTGTATATATATATTGTATATATATATTGTATATATATATATATATTGTATATATATATTGTATATATATATTGTATATATATATTATATATATATTGTATATATATATTGTATATATATATATATATTGTATATATATATATATTGTATATATATTGTATATATATATTGTATATATATATATATCTATTTTTGCATCATTCACGACATTCTTGGAAACACAGAAACATTCATTTTTTGGTCGAATCATAGTCAAGGCTCTCACTTAGAGATCCGTATTCTCCAAGGCAAACAGAAATCGTGTATGCCCCATGTCTCTTCAGCATTGCCTGCGTGAAGGGTTCATATCAAATTTGGAATGGTCAGCAGTGAACAAAAACCCTGAAGCACCTCAAGAGGTGCAAAATCCCAAAGTAGACTGCTGCATGGCTGCTCGATTGCATAATGCACTCCACGGCGGAAACAATACTCACACCTAAGGAACCATCGAAAGCTGCACCAATTTGCAACTGGGCTGTTGCGCTGCAATGTCAAGTTCGATTTGCCCAATTTGCAACTAGGCTGCAGGTACAGCATCCTCCGGATGAGTCGGTTGGCCCTCTTCACATTTTTGAAGTTGCGAGAGCCTGCCACAGCACTCATGATCGCCATATCGTCTGGGCCAGCGGCGGCTCAGCGGATCAGCGGATCAGCGGATCAGCGGACCAGCGGACCAGCGGATCAGCGGATCAGCGGATCAGCGGACCAGCGGACCAGCGGATCAGCGGATCAGCGGATCAGCGGATCAGCGGACCAGCGGACCAGCGGATCAGCGGATCAGCGGATCAGCGGATCAGCGGATCAGCGGACCAGCGGATCAGCAGATCAGCGGATCAGCGGATCAGCGGATCAGCGGACCAGCGGACCAGCGGACCAGCGGATCAGCGGACCAGCGGATCAGTGGATCAGCGGATCAGCGCACCAGCGGATCAGCGGATCAAAGCAAAGTTCTAGAACGTACTTTTCAACCTGTCTATACCTACAAAGGCAATCTTGCTCAGTGACCTTTGCCTGCCAGGAAAAGGTCTCTCCTGCAAGCACCTTCTGTACAAGTAGCATGCCTTCCGCTTTCACAAGGCCGCCGCCCCTGCTCCGGGTTTTGTGGTGTCAGTGGTGGTTTTGCAGCTTGATTTCTGACACTTGCACCACGTGACATGACCAGCGATCACGGACGTACTTTTCAACATGTATATATCGGCAATCTTGCTCAGTGACCTTTGCCTGCCATGAAAAGGTGTCTCCTGCAAGCACCTTCTGTACACGTAGAATGCCTTCCGCTTTGACAAGGCCGCCGCCCCTGCTCCGGGTTTTGTGGTGTCAGTGGTGGTTTTGCAGCTTGATTTCTGACACTTGCACCACGTGACATGACCAGTGATCACGGAAAGAGTTCGCAGCTTGTGCCCCTGCTGTGCCTTTATTTTCAAACAGGAGAGAGAACCATGACCATGCGCAAACGTATCACACTAAGACAGTCCATACATTTCGCCGCAAGGCTGAGAAGAGCAACCAGAAACAAACCACGCAACTGCAGAGCCCAAGACCTTCCCTCCCGCCTGCGACTCTTCCTTTTCATGGCGCACGGGTTTAGCCAAGCTGTGATTGCTGAAGCCATACGAAATGCAGACCCGGCTGCGCAGATTTCAGATGGTTTGGTTGTGCATCTGGCAGCTGAGCTGCAACCTCTCTTCTCGACCAGAGTTGCTGCCTACGGTAGAGAAACTTGTGCCCAAGAGTTGCTCCCCTTGCCTCGGAGCTGTTCTGCGTGCAAAACCCGGCTAGCTGAATGCAGAGGTTCTGCCACGCCTGCGGCAGTGATAGACCTTTGTGGAGTCGTTGAAAAGCTGCATGTTCCACTGCGGTGTAGAAAGCCTTCATGCCCGGAGTTTGGGGTGCTTCTTTGGTACAACTACTGCGTACGCAAAGGCAAGCATGTGTTCCAGGGAGAGCTGCCACTCTTGCAATGTTTCATGCTATCCTCGAGCTTTGGTTTTAGTATCCCTTGGCTGCGCCAGTTCCACCTGCGTTTGGTGCGTCAGCACGCATCATTCACGAGTGAAGCCGACGTACTGACGGCGCAAGCTGCCACCAATTCGCAGCTGCATCGTCTCCCCACTTCACGCTTGCGGCTGCTGATCAGCCAGGGATGGTTCACCTGGCGCTTGCTGACGCGTGGGCTTGAAGCCGGCTTGGATTTGTCTGTGGTAGATTTTCAATCTCCCATGGAGGACACGGCGTGCAGGTTCTTGGGTCCATTGCAAGCAGCATTCAGCCGGAAGGCCGTGGAAGGTGCTCAGCGTGCCAAAATGCGGTGCGATGTTATTGTTTTAGATGGCAATGCAAAGAACCGGAGGGCAGTCTGCGCCGCTGCGCTGGCGGGATGTTCTTACTCTCCAACCCTCCGCAGAACTTTGCGCCACACCTGCACAAAAACGCCTGCTTTCAAGCATAGCTTTTGCTTGCACCATTGTGAAGCTCCTGGCGCAGATCGTTCTCACACAGTGTCTTGGCTCGAATCCTCAAACATTTTCAGTTTTGTTTGCCTTCTCCTTCCGTGGGCTACTTTTTTGAATTAAAACCCCAGGGCTTCAGCGTCGGTGCTTGGGTCTGTGCTCGCGTTTGCAGGATGTTGAGATTCTACAACACAAGTCTATCAATGATGGGCAGCAACTGATGGTTTTGCTCCAGGAAACGACCGAACCTCGCAGGGAGGCTTGGGTCTTGGATTCCGCCGTGCCAGACACTGTCTTGAGCAAGTACTTGCGGCAAGTTGGGGCGGAGAAGCTGAAACTTCGCAAGCGTACTCATGACCCCCAACCTTCAGACACTGCAGGGCCTTCTCCCGCACCGCCACTGTTGCAGGCGCAGGTTGAACCCGTGGCAGAGCTTGAGCAATGTTCAGATCCAGCGGATTTAGCGTCTGTTGCATGTTCAACGCACAAGGAAAGCAGTACTGCCCAGAGGCAACTTGCCAAGTCAGCGGGCATGCTTTGCGTATGCTTGTCCGAGGGCCTTATTTTGCACATGCAAGAGATTTATGGCTGCGAGTCTCTGAGCCAGCGCTACTTCTGCGTCGCTGCTGTCAAAGCTTTGCTGCCGACCCTGACGACAGTGGTGCACGATGATGCGTGCCACTTGCACAAGTATTGCGCGCGTCGAGCAGCGCACTCTCAAGCTGCGGCGCAGTTGTCGCCACCTCACATGACCTTTGTCTGCGACAAGTTCCACATGGCAGGCCACACGGATGCTTGGTGCAAGCAAACATGTGACCCGGAGCTCCCGTCCAACTCCGCTCTTCTCGCTGGTGTCAGGACTTCAGTTTGCGAGTTCACCTTCACATGGCTCAGCAAATACAAGCACCAAACCAAGCACATGAACGAATACGGTTTTCAGTTCTTCTTGCTCGACATGGCGTGGAGCCACAATGAAATCATTTTGCAGGGAGGCTACAGGCCGGAGGAGGTAGCTGGCTCTTTGGATGCTGAGGATGTCGCGTAGCAAGCCAAAAATGTTCGGACGCTTAGGGTTTGAAGTTTGGGAGCGCCATAGGTACGTAGCTCTTTATTCGAACGGGCTGTGGTGCTTGTAACATGTGACCATCTTTTGCTAGATCAGGTTGATTTTAGAATTGTGGTGCGGCTTTAGGTAGCCCGGTTCAAATTTGGTAGTTCGCAGCTTCTCGTGCGGAGCCATGTCCGGGGCTCCTGACGATGGGCAGTACGTGCCCGCCATGAAGCTGATGTGGGATGAGGTGGACAGACGTTTTGACCCCAAGTATGTCCTTGGAGAAGCCGGCCACCAGTTTTGCCAAAGCTATTCTGTCAGAGCTGCGCATCCTGAATTTCCTTACGCTTTGCATGGTCTTTCTTTGATGTGTGCTTTGGCGAATGGCGCGCGGGTCGCCATCTTTGCCACAGCACCGTCGCCTCTGACTTTGGTAGCGGTTAATGTCAACTATGCCCAGACCAGAAAGTCTTCCATGACTGGACACGCAGAGGCTTTGGGGCAAGAGTTGGACACAGTCATCTTGGAGAATGCGATGTCCAAGCTGCAGCAGGAAAGCTTTGAGGAGGGAGCGGCTCAAGTCCTGAGGCGGGGCTTTTCAAAGTCCAATTGCCCCCCGCTGACCATGCGTGAACAGTTTGCTAACCTTGTGTTAAATTTTCACGTGTTTCTAAATCTTTGCCAGGAACCAAAAGACACAAGTGACCCCGCTGCTGCAGGTATTTGAAGCCAAGAATCGCTTCTGCGACTGTTGCCAGCGCCACACCGGAAGAATGGTTTCACCGTTGCTCTGCTGACTGGAACCAAGTCCGCAACGCAGACAAGCTGCCAGGAGATTGGTCTGGGCGTTGCTGGTACGGCTTGCTAGGCAACTTTGATGAAGCCTACGACTTCTTGCTGAGCCTTGGCCTGTTGTCCGACTCAAATGCAACAACGAGAGAGAAATCAAAAAGCAAAGTCGACCCGTACCAGAGCGCGTTCAACAAGCTCTTGCAATTTGGGTCTAGTGCTCGTGCCACCAAGACGGCAGGGAGCTACGGTGAGAACCCTGGTAAAACCATAAGCTTGGGCATCACTTGCAACATGCACCCGGCCTTCTACATCCCAATGGAGCGGGGCGAGCTTGGAAGCCACGCAGCCTCCACCAAGGAAAGGTTCCTCATCTCCACTGGCCGCCCTGTTCAACCACATGAGGACATCCCCGCAGACTTTTGCTTGCCGGAAGGACGGGGTCGATTCTTGCACTGTTACATGCTGGATATAGCGCTCACTTCTCGGTATTAAGGCATGTAAAGCACAAACACTGTCATGAGCCTGTCAGTCTTTGTGGATTTTCTGAGTTGAGACGCGTGCAGGAGTCTCGCCATACAGGTGGGTCCCCCTCACTCCTGAGATTGCAGACCTCATTGGGGTTGCTAAAGAAGCAACATCGCCAGACGCAGCTGCCCAAGAATGGGCAGAAGCTGGGCTTGAAGACGAAGCCGCGGCCCAACTCACCCAAAATGCTGCCGGTGAGTATGTGCCGTCGGAAGACGGCTACCTTGTCAGGCTCTTAGATGACAAGCTGACCCGCATCCGCTTCAGGCGATCAGAGGCAGCCCCAAACGGCTTTGAAGCAGAGTGGAGGGTAGCGAACCGAAACTTTGCAATCCCGGAGGTGTGCCGTTTGAGAAATTGCATTGCTAGGGTGGCCACCTATTTCGCAGCGCCACACCAAGTTATCACTTTGACTTCGGAGGCTGAGTCATGGCATCTGTCTTACCAGGGAGCAATGAATGTCCAAAGCCACGTGGTTCGTGATACTGGAGACATCCAAGCTGGGGCTCGCTTCGGGGCGGCGCCTTGGCAAGTAGGGGTTTTAGCTGCTTTGCTCCTGGTCTTCGAAATCTTTGTCGGCGCCCACTCCCCTGCAGCGCTGGAGGGGCGAGCTTTGCAGGTTACACCCGGGCACTTGCAGCGGGCGTACGCCTTGCTTCAATTGGCTCCTTGGCCGCGTTATTTTGAGTGTTCTGAACGTCACCTTGTTCCCCATGTTCCATCCAGCCTGACGTATTGTCGCAGACCAGGTGCAGCGTCTGAAGCACATTGCCCTTGGAGATGCAGCAGCCAGCCCAGACCTACCGCCGCCGCAGGAAGACGTCCGTGCGGATGATTTGGGCGCCTTGCGCATCCCCTATGTGCCTGAAGACTTTGCTTCGACCCAAGCTGGCGCAGGTATTCCAGAGGTGGGCGATGACGAAGAAGGTGACGAGGCTGCAGAAGAGTCGCCGGAGGAACATGTGCCAGAACTGCCAGCACCAGTGGGCAATCCAGGACTGCCGGAGCCAGAACCTTGCGCAGCCGTGAAACCTTTGACCCTGCAGGATGTTCGAGCCAGTGATTTTGGGTTTGGAGACAATGGTGTCACTGTCCAGCCTGACGGCTTGCATAGCCGGAATTTCACCGATAGAACTGTTTTGAAGCAGACCCTTCTTGCTGGCAAACCGAAGATCACTAGGAAAGAGGCTTGTGACAAGATGCGCTCTGAACGAGGGCAAGGACGCAAAGCGCTTCCCAAAGAAAAATGGGTTGCTGTCATGAGGGCTGCAGCTTCCCAATTTCCCGACTTGCTCCGCCTTGACGGAGAGATTTTGTGTTTGAAAATGATTCCCGACACTGCAGCAGGCAAGGTCGCGTACCACAACGACCTCATGAGAGCTTGCCGTCTAAGCCTGCGGGAGTTGATTGCTGCTATGGACAAAGCAGCTGAGAAGAAGGAAGAGCGCCGTGCAAAGCGAGCCAGGGTGGATGACTGAGGCAAGCTGCTTGGGCGCATTGATCCCGTGTAGGATGGTGCCAGCTGCCAACAGAAGTCGGGTTTAAAAGAGCGGCTGCCTGCAGCTGACAACTGGCCCCTGTTCTGTTGTCATCCATCTTCACAAGACAGGTTGAGACCCAGCCCTTTCAGATTTTCCATGCAATGCATCTTCCCTGCCTGCTTTGTCTAGGCATTTCTTCGCCATCCAGCCCTCCTTCTTCTTGTGCATCTTGGTGGCAAAAGACTTGGGCGGAAAGCCTTGCAGGAAGGGTTGGCCAAGAAGGGCGCCCACAATCGCTCGTGCTGCATACTTCCTGCTTCATGCTTTTGGCTTGACTATGAGCCTGTAACCTGATATTATCTAAGGTGCGAGACTTGCGCAAGGACAACGGGGGAACCGACTTACGACTTGTGGTTGGGATCTCCCATTTCAGGGGCCATGGTCGATAGCAATGGGAAAACGTGGTTGAAGCTGCGGATTGTTTTGATGACAAGCGGCCTCAGTGCGCTGTTAAGTCTCGATCAGCGGGTCAGCTGAACAGCACAGGGGAGCGGATCAGCTGATCAGCGGATCAGCGGACCAGCGGACCAGCGGATCAGCGGACCAGCGGACCAGCGGATCAGCGGATCAGCGGACCAGCGGACCAGCGGATCAGCGGATCAGCGGACCAGCGGATCAGCGGATCAGCGGACCAGCGGACCAGCGGATCAGCGGATCAGCGGACCCAGCGGACCAGCGGACCAGCGGATCCAGCGGACCAGCGGACCAGCGGACCAGCGGACCAGCGGATCAGCGGACCAGCGGACCAGCGGATCAGCGGACCAGCGGACCAGCGGACCAGCGGACCAGCGGATCAGCGGACCAGCGGATCAGCGGACCAGATCGGATCAGCGGACCCAGCGGATCAGCAGCGGATCAGCGGATCAGCGGATCAGCGGACCAGCGGACCAGCGGACAGCGGACAGCGGATCAGCGGATCAGCGGACCAGCGGACCAGCGGACCAGCGGATCATCTGCCACAGACAGCAGGGCTCATCATGGACAGGCTCTTTATAGGTTGATACATGCATATTTAAATATTGTGTGCATGCATGTATGTATGTTTGTTTGTATGTGTGAATCTTAATGATTGGGATGTATCAAAATGAAGTGGAAATCGGACATGGGAATGCGAGTTCAGAAGGCAACACTCAAGACCATCTAATCTAACCTATACCTGCCATGTGGGAACACTTGGAAGTCACGATTGGCGCCACACACCTCTGACTCTTGTTCGAGATCTACCAGTTGTTGACCGTGACAGCCATATCCATGTATTGCACGGAGGTGCAATCCAGTAGAGGGCATTCCGTGCCAGGGAGCGTACCTGAAGCAAATAAATCGTTTGTAGACAGAAGTCGCACATGTTGTGAAACGGCTACCCTGAATAATGCTTTAAATACCATTAAATACCTGATAACCCATTATTGGTGGTAAATAAGCTGTCTTACATGTTACCATTTGAAACCAGGTCAAACTGAGGAGAACTGGGTAAATCCCCACCCAGGGCACTGCTTGCAACGAGGCTAGAAATCCCACACTGCAAAGCAAGTTCATGGCCCGGTTGTATTTGACCTGAGCCGGAAGACGGGTGTAACTGTATATATAAATATGTATAATGTTTATATTCAAGAATCCCCAAATTGTGGTTGGCTTTAATTGGGTTCAACATTTGGCATGTGATTTGCATATGTAAAGATAGTTGATGATTTCGGTTCCGAGATGGAAAAATAATTCAACTGGGGAGCATCCCGTCGTTGCGCAGCAAGACCCCATGTGCGCACTCCAGCCGTCAGCGCTCCACAGCCAGCACAGTCTTCTTGAAGGAACGTTAACCCATCTTCATTGACAGGGCCATAGGCAGCCAAGAGCACTGTCACTACCAAGGCCAGGTGTGAATACTTCATGGCTATCAAGGACAGAAACCACCAGGCACCCCAGATAAAGCTTAGTGGCTGCAAAGTAGCGATGCATACTTAATTGAACTTAAATCCAAACTATATGTTTGGAAACCCTAACCTGTCAACTGCACCCAGCATTTGGTTGCAGACGGTAACGGCATATCAACGCTCTTGAGCGCCAGCCCAGGCCTTTCCAGAAGTTGGCAGGGGCATAGCTGGCAGCTGCTGTATTGCTCATGCGCCTGCAGTTTGCAAGTGCCACGGTTGAAACTATCGGTGCTGAGATGGGAGCAGGTGGTCTAAGGGTCTTGATCCCATATACATTAGTAGGGGTTGCCGTTTTGGTCTATCAGGATCCGTTCCTTCTACATGGGATACCGATAACCATAGCCAATTTACCTTTTGACCATGCCGTGCAAAGGAAACCACAGACCATGTGCTAAATGCTTTGATTTGCAATACCAACAAAAAAGATAAAGGCACTTTACACAAATATCCTGCCAAGACGTTTGACCTGCGTTCTGCTTTCTATGTGCCAAACATGTCCGATCGATCATCAACGGTCAAATAATCTAAGCTGTCGCCATTAAAATGGCAAGTGTTGAACTTGACGCGCAAGCACAAAAACCCCCACCAGCACATGTTTAGCTGGTGACATTTGCTGTGCAAATGGTTCCAAGTTGGCACTTAATGCCTCGCCCCGGTGGCTTGATGCTTCATCCATCAAAAAATTATACAGTAAGCGTTGATATTCTTTTGAAATTCTTTCAGACTTTAACTTTGGACAACCCTCAAATAATGTAGGCGTGGGTATTGCATTGTATTGTTTGTATTGTATTATAGGCTTGGGACCTTGATTTAAGATAGGCAATAAAGCTTCTAGCCACCAAGCTACTTGTTTTCGAACCGACGGCGCTTGCGCTCCGTCTCCGGCAAGCCATCAATGATGGCATTGCGTTCTGCGGATTTCATCCACATCTTCATACATTCTGAGTGTTTGTAACCTTGCTGTTTGGCATTTGCCATGAATTTTTTCATGGCTACAGCCATTGGACCAGCTGCTGGCTTGCGAACTGCTAGCTTTTCACCTTTGCCTTTCGCCTTTGGCTTCACTACCTTGGCTTTCGAAGTTGGCTTGACCTTTTTGGCTTTCTCGGCCTTGGACACTGCAGCAACCTGCTCAGGTGCTGATGCCTTTGGAGCCTGAGACAGCTGCAGCTCAAGTCGCTTGGCCGCTAGCTGCTGGCGTTTCTTCATTGGCTGTGGCAGCTTGTCCGGGGTCACACTTACATCGAAAGCATGCCCCTGGAAAGGGTAACTTGCTGCAGCAGCACCCCACCAACCTTTTGGCATTTTCGAGGCACAATCCTAGGCCGATACAATCTCAGCCACATGTCACCGGTACAACTGTGTACATTTTTGAGCAAACAGCTGAGACAATATTAGTCCGTGGCCGCCTTGGACTTTTTGACGGCCGGGGGATCCACAACCTGCCAGATTGTTGATCCAAGGCGGCCCTATGACCCCATGACAGTGAAAGGTTAATGGTGGCACAAAACTAAATAGAAAACACCGGCCTCAGTCTCTGACATATCCATATAGTGGTCAATGAGAGCTTCCACCTATAATGCAAAACTCAAATGATTTTATTTCCATTAAGTATAATGTTTGATGGTTTGAAAAATTGCAATAAAAAGTGCAGATGTAGAATCTACCGAGCAGTTTTTTTGATGGCCTCCACCTCTACCAACTCTGAAACTTCGCCACTGCTGATGCTGACTGCATCAAGGCATGGTTCCTCGAGCGAATGGATCGCTGGTGTATATCTTTCCACGATGCAGCCACCCAGCTGCAAGAAAAAACAGTTTGTGCTTATAGGGGGGAAATTCAACCGAAAGTGCAGATAACAATGTGATGATATTGAATGCTGGACCGTGCAAGTCAGATCGAGTCCTGCATGGCCTCATCAACAGGGTCGGTGTGTTCCACTGCCTTGAAGCCCTGCAGATGGTTTTGAAAAGTGTGCTTTTTAAAAACGATCAGTAAGGATATCCCAAAAAATTGACACCGGTGAAAAATCATAAGCAGTTGCGCTGGAGGTCACTACCCCACACCTCTAGATTGAAAAATAAACTGCGATTCATCCGTTGGTATAGGTTCCCCTGGTTTCCTGACCCACAGCCTCGGGAGCCATCTCCTGCGACGGATCCAAGAAGTGCTGTGCCTGCCAAAAAATGCATGAGGAACTGCACAGGCATGTAACCGGAACCTCATGGCCTCAAAGCGTCCTCCAAAGTCAGTGGAATTGTCCCACCACTCCACAGCCTAAATCAAAACGGAACCCAGAGAAATTCACTTGGAAAACTGTTTGCCAAGAAGTTCAAACGTTCGAAAGTATAAGGCTCACCTCATCGAGATTCAGCTCAGCGCCTCCACCATACCAATCCTGCATGCCAAGACATGTAACGTAAAGTCACAATGGCACAAACATGCAACAGTATAACCCCAGACCATCCTTGTGGCCAAAATCAGCAGGCTCACCCCACCACTCCGCAGCCTACCAAATCGAAACTAAAAACCAAAGAAAACTGTTTGCCAAGAAACTCAATTGTTCAAAAATAAAGTTGTCACCTCATTTACATCACGGTCGTAGCAAGCAGCCGGCCACTCCGTAGCCTATACGCAGTCAAGCAGCACAGTTTAACACCCAGAAACATCCACTTAAAAACTGACATTGAGATTCCCAACCTTTCCAACCTGAAGACCATCCTGCACAGGAAGTAACAAACTCAGGAGATTGGAAACGAATAAGACAAAACTATGAGCCTATGAAGCTTGAGTTGCACATGAGAATGCCCTGCCTCAAGGTCATCCACTGGGGATTGCAAATCCTGCAGCGACAAGGCTCAGTAAGTTGAATCCTGGATTTTGACAGCACAGATGGACCCACAAAATGGACATACAAAATAGCCCATGCAGCTTGCCTTGAAAATGTGAGCCCAGTACGCCTACACAATCAATCAAATCTGTGTAACCCCCGCGTTTGAAAAACATTCT